AGATGCTTTTAATTTACATTTTCTTTATAGTAAAAGTATGTATCTTTCCAATGGTCAAACACTGACAGTCTTTGGGTGAATTGTTTTTGTTCATTATAAATTGATTGGCAAAATGTGATAAAGATGAGAAAAAATAGTGTGATTTTCTTTCTAGTCTGTTGCTGTAAGTATAAGCACTCTATCTTTCACAACACAAGGGTGAGGCAGTGAGGAAAACTTGATTGTGCTGGGTGTGTGGTAAGGTTCTTTTGTGTAACTCATTTACTGTGTTGAGCAACCTACCTTCTATTATTCATCCATGCTCTCACCTTTGATGTATAATATCTATCTGGAGAGTATCAGATTGGGATATATTTAGCTAAGACAAGAGAATCTAATTAAAATTTAAGGGTGTACCTTTCTCTCTAGAGTCCTGAATGGGGACACCCCATTGCCAGTTATTGTCTCATTAAGATAAGGCCCCACCATATCCAAAAAGGTCAGTACTTGCCACTATATTGTTCTGTCATACTATGGGTTTAAACCACATTGTGAAAGAATTTACATAATAAACTTCATATTTCTATTTAGAGAAACATTCTTTCTGAGTTCTTTTAGATTTTGAAAGAAGCACAGTATCAACAAGATCTCATCCTTATTGGACAGGTTAAAGGATAAGAATCAACTCTCAAAGAATTCTGAATAACTTTCCTCCTTCCAAATGCTTAATCCATCCCCCCCCGCCCCGCCAATGTATATGCATATTCTAACGTGCATATGCTTGTGAAAACATTTGTGTAAGTCTATGTTTATATTACTTAAATGACATTTCAAAATATGTCACTATCTGCTATGAGCATTAGTGAAAATGTTTTTGTTTCCTTCCCATATGCGCACATAATCCATTTTGATGGATCCAAGTAGTTGACTTGAGATTCAGGAAAAAGTATAATTTACTAGATTATACCACAAATGTAAATGAGTCCCTAACTTGCCTCTCAATCTTCTATGAAAATGGAAGTAGATAATGATTAATTTCTGTTTAGTTTTTGGAATTCATTTTCTATACTTAATGTGGAAATTAACTTCAGGTTTAAAGACTGAGATGGCATAGTATTTCATTTCAAACTTATTCACAAAAAGTAACTGTTTAACTTTAACTGAAAATAGTCTCAGGATTCATCTGACTTCTGACTCTACTGGAACTCAAGTGCCACATTCAGACATTGGGACACAGGGCAGGTCTCCTGAAAGTATAAGGCATCTTGTTGTTGGGAAGAAGGTTGCAAAACACATGTCTCAAACCAGTACACTAGGAGTGCTCACCAGCCTGTGCTTGTGAGACAGAGAGTGGGCAGGCATGAGTGAGGTATAGGACATCAAGCACCGATAATGGTAACTAGCATTCTCATGACCTTTACCCCATAGATCAATCATTGAGGATTATTTTGTGAGTCAACCAAGAAGTCCTTCTAAAATTTTATCTGCTGATCCAAGCAACCACACAAGAACATTTTTTTGGACCAAGAAGTAAAAATAGAAAGGGTATGACCTATATTTTTTATCATTCTTCATATATATAAATATATATTTATATATTTTTATATATGCTATCTCTCTGAAAATTTACTATGTTTGCAGTTCCAACCATTGCAGGTTGGGTGATGGAGAGAAAATAAAGCTAATTAAACATTTCCATAAACCGCAGAACTGAAAAGGACTTGGAGGAATTCTTTGTTGACATTTAAATATCTACTGTGTAAAGTGGAAAGCAAGATTTGCATCCAACAATGCCACCTGGTTAATTCAGCAATTTTTATAACCTGGCAAATTTTTCTTGTGCAACAGTGCATTTTTATGAAATTAGGTGACTATTATCAATATACTATATTGAACCTTTTTCTGATCTCCCCAGCATTGGAGTGACTTTATTGTAACAGATGTTTCCCTCTTTAGAGCGGAGGTAAAACAGCATGTATCTTGACATAGGCAGGCAGCACTTGGCTTTGGAACATTAAGTCTTCCATCAGGCTATTCCCTCAGTTTCAGTCATTGGTTTAAATAGGACTGTTTCTTCCAAACGCAACAACCTGGTATCCAAACACTATTTCTCCATTAGTCACCTGGTTCCACATTCCAAAATGCAATTCAAACTTGGAAACCAGTGTGTATCCATGACCTTTTAGGTCTAACATGGTCTGGTGGAAAGCGTATTGGAAGAGTGTTAGTCTCACCAACTTGCTAGGTGACCTTTGACAAATTACTTGACCCCAATGTGCTTCATTTTCCTTTCTACACAAGGAATATGGAGGCAATAATATATAGCTTCCTGCCCTACCTTACAGAATTTTGTAAGGTTAAAATGAAATAACCATTTGTTTGCATTCTGTTTTGATGTATTGATGCAGAAATACTCTTTTCTTTGCTGCTACAAACGTATCACCAGGCTTATAGGAAAAAATACCAAAGATTTGTCGAAATATCATTCATTCCACTTTTGCTCTCTAGAACAAATTTATTTCATTAAACGATGACGGCCAATTGGTTTAAAATGGTAAAAGCACAACTTTCAGTTTTCAGATCTGGACTGATGTTCTCACGCAGCTGCTGAAAAGGTTTCTGCTTCATTTCCAGAGACTCTGGCAGACCTTGTTGCATATATTTGGTGTCACTAATATGCTCTCACCTTATACTTATTCCAAAGTGATATGAGACAATCTTGAATGAGGCAGGAGACATTCTAACAGCCAAAGGCAAATTGTTAGTCGCCAAATCCAGTGTCACCTGTTGGGCTCTCACACTGTTCAGCTTGTCTACCTTCCTATGAATGAGGTCCAGGAAACAGGACTACACATCAATGTATGTAATGTGTTTGCTCAATTCAAAACTTTCCCTTAAACCTCTGCTGAATGAGTAATATGGTACCCCTCAGATCTGGAGTTCTGATCAAAACTTGAGCCTAGCAAGTTGTAAGAATCAATATTTGTGAATGATAATGGGTTTCTGCATTGTTTTTTTTTTCCTCTATCCTTTTCACTAAAATTCGTAAACCAATGTCTGTATTCCTGACTTAGAGGAGATATCTTTTAAAGGACTGTCATCCATTTTATCTGCAAATTGTCTCTGAATTTTCTAATTTTTTCCTTCAACTTCCAAATCAAAATCTCTGGATATTACCATTTCCAGAAGCCTACCAAGTCACCTGGACACCAATGATGTGATCAATGAAACCTCTAAAGTAAAATTGTAAAGATACATATATCACTTTGTCTCTATTCTAGTTTGATTTGTCAATCTCCTATAAAGAGGAAACTCCTCAGAGGCTTTCAAAAACATGTATTGCTCATTCACTATAAGTCAGAATAGTTACTCAGTGGAATTATACTGTTAACATTTACTTAATATTTGCAATGTATTAAGCATTGTCCTCAGTGTTCTAATCATCCTCACGGCAACCTCATGAGTAAGTAGTATTCCAATTTTCATTTTAAAGGTAAGGGGATCAGGCACATGGACATTAAATTATTTGCCAAAGATTACATACCTAGTTAACGTTAGGATCTGAATGTGGGCAATCTATTTCCCAACCACATATCTTAAACCTATGCTATACTGAGACCAAAGAGCTATTAGATATTGTTCCCTTCAAGAGATGATGTTTGAGATGGGGTTGCAAGCTCATGTGCTGATGCAGTTATCTCTTGTCAGGGAAATAGTAAGAGTGTGATTATTGAGATGGGTAAAGAACCCATCTCCACAGGTAAATATCTGAAACCTCCATCCCTAGCTCAAATCATTTATTATAAATATGTTAGTGAGGGTGGATTCTTATCAGATAGGATTCTTGTCAGATAGACTCCACTTAGTCTTTGTGCTAGGAGTAAGACTTTCTGCTGAGTGTGATTGTGACAGTTATATAAAAGAATTTTAGTGAAAGAAAAGAAGGTTATAAGTGACTGTTTTAAGAAACTGGAGCTCAGTCTCTACAGGGTTCTGAGATATTTCAGTAAGGAGCATAGGGTTTCCAGTAGAGACTAAACACCCTGAATCTCTCACAGTGTTAGCTACATTATTGTTTGTATATGAATTCTTGCCAACCAGACTGTGAGAGAGATACTGAGTAAGTCTACTAATTCGGGGTTAGAATGTTTGCATGAGGTATTATAAAATTTTGTCAAGTTTGTACAGAAGAACTAAAGGCAAGGCAATAAGATATTAACAATCTTGTGGTTTAAGTAATGAGGTTTTACGAGTAAGAAGTAGAGGGTGAGAGAGGGAGTAGAGGGTGGGAGAAAAATCAAGAACTAAATATCTCTAAGTGGTAAAAGTGAAAGACACATAATCAAAAAGTTGTGAAGGAGCTTGTAGAAAAGAAGTGTTAGAGAGTGGAACATTAGAGTTTATATTTTGGAATATTTGGTAATTCTTAGTAATAGCCAGTTCCAGGGTATGTCCATGGGTGTGGCTGACTGCAGTAGAGTGCAAGTCACTGACATTAAGAAGAGCAACAAATTATGATACAACATTGTTGGATAAATCAACATAGACAATGAAATCATCTAGGATGACACAGGCATTTATGGGTGAGAAAGAAGACTGTTAGTTGCAAGAAACACTGCCTGACCACAAAGCCATTGGATACCAACATTGAGGTATAAAGTATAATACCAGAATAACATGAATCTAAAGAAGACATGTTTTGAGTTGGGTGGAATAGTATTTTTGGAGATAAAGAGTGCAATTCTAACACTTCCCTCTTGACCTGCAAAACACACAATTTTGGAGAATAAAAAACCTCCATTTAATGATATATTGGGGGAAGCAGAATTGTTCAAAGGATCAGTCTTTAATCTTTACTAGAGACTGAAGGTTTAGAACGGTTGGAGGTTTCTTTACCATGGCACTGAATTATATCAAGTTCAAGTGGAACTGGATTATATCTGGGAATTGTTGGCAGGATGAAAAAGTATCAGTTATAATGAAAATTAATATTTTAGAGGCTTCCGGTGATCTTAACACTTCCAATCATCTTATAGGTAACAGGTAATGTCATCTTATTTTTAATGATCACATGAAGCCCTGGGATATGTACTGTTTCACCTATTTTACAGATCATAGAATGGAGACATCAAAAGGTAAAGCAACCTGCTCATGCAGATAAAGTAAGAGGTAAAACCAATGTTTTAAGCCCAGCAGTCTGAAATCAACACATACTGATGTTATGTGATGGAAAGATGAAGATTAGGAGAGAAAATATGATAATAAATGCAGCAAGTCAACTATGAAAGGGAAAAGGAGACTGGAAGTTCTTCATTTTGAATACTAGTACAAGATTATGAGACTATTAGGCACAGATTTATTTGGTCATAATGCTCCCTGACAAATATAAGTGTTAGAATGAAGTGCAACAACTACACCTCAAAAGCTACAGGCTGTAGACTTCTCAAAGTTTCATGGAAGCTTTTGGTGAGTATGGGTTACATACCTCAGAAGGGGACAGGAGGGGCTCCTATTATTAATTTTAGTACAAGTATATATTTAATACAAATATATATTCTAAATTTAGTATAAGAGGTAGGAATTTAGTACAGAATGTGTTGCTTAGGGAAGCTTCACCTTCTTTTACAGAGAAGCTATACCTCTTTCTCCAAAGATGAGTTGAAAAATTCAAACACCTTCGAAATAATTCCAGGCTAATTGTGCATCTAGTCAAATTAGTCGATTTATTTAGCCTATTGCTTTTTTCCCTAAACGGGTGCTAATGGTGGTTACAGCTCACAAAAATGGTTCCAGTTCGGTTAAATCACATCCATTTATTGAAAAATTAATGTCCTCACTTGTAAAATACAAATTAAACAAATTTCAGAGCCATAACTGCTAATATGAAACCTTGCATATAAAAACTGTTGGAAAAGTTACAAATACTAAGTGAATAAAAGTGCTCTTATTAATAAATAATAATAACTAATATTTGGAACTTTGTGCTATAACTAGTATTTTGTTATTACTTAAATTTATTATCTCATTGAATCCTTATTGTAATCTTTATACATAAGAATTATAGTAACTCCACTTTATACATGGGGAAAATTAGGCTTGAACATCAAACACTAAATGTGTGGTAGGATTCAAATTCAATCCATCTGACTTCAAAGTAATGTTCTTAATATATACTCTTAACACTTGGTAGGGATAATTTTTATAAACATTGGTATTAGATGCAGTAAACAGTTATTACAGCTCATTGGTATAGTCAAAATCCAAAATATAATGCCCCTAGCTTTCTAGCTTAAATGTAAGCCACTTAATGCAGACATAGTAAAAAAATATATAACCTAGGATAATTGTTATTTCCAATATTATATTTTAGGCATACTTCGCTCACTTCAAGTTACTAAGTCTTCATTCAAGTTACTAAGCAGAAGACACATATGGAGTCACAGGTTGTGTGACTGTGAGTGTCACATTGCCCAAGATAGTTTTGATTTATGTGATGCCATACCATAGTCCATTATCTTTACTCTTAAAATTTTCTTGATTTGGAATGCATTATATTAAAACTCTACTTTAATGTTTATTACTAAAAGTATGGGACTAGATCTTCCCAGTGATAGATTCTGTTTGCTCTCATATAGGCAATAAAGTCTAAAAGTGAGTGGCATATCCATCCCCTAAATGTATAGAATCCTTCCTGTCCTCTAAAACTCTTCCAGGAAGCACTTATGTTAATTTCATTAAAAAAATCACAAACCATGAATTATAAGGAATAATAATTCACATCCCTATATTTTTATGTGTATGATTTGAACATAACACTTTTATTTATTTATTAAAGATTTATTTATTTATACATACAAGCACTAGCATATAGGCCAGAGGTGCAGGGGGCAAGAGGAATCACCAGAGACAGAGTGGGGAACAGAACAGGCAGACTGACTGAAATACACTGCTGAGGGGAGCCGCGGGCGAGACAGGAGAGGTCTGCTGTGCCATGTCGGGTCAGCTCCCTGGCTGGCTGGGCATCAAACTCATGCTGCGGAAGGCTGCAGATTGCTTCACAGTGCTGTGTCTTCACCTCTTGTGCCACCAGGAGGTTCCTGAGTATAACACTTTTAGCACATAAAATGTCATTATTAATTTTAACTACACAGTTAATATGGGCTAACCTGTGGTAACTTATCTCTAATGATACATTTGATAAAATAATTTTTTTCACTTTTCATGCTCAGAAAATTACTGTTTGACTTTACCTTTATATTGACCTGTGACTTTTTCCTTGTTACTGTTCTTTGAATGGTGAATATTGAATTTCTCTTGTCTAATACAAGAGAATTCTAATCTTGCAATACTTATATCTCAGCACCTTTTTCAGATATTTCAGACAATGGTAACACAGGTTCTTAAAAGTGTAGCTCAGAATAATTAACAACATAAAGAGTTTGAATTTTTTTTGTCTTTTGAAGCCCTTAAAAAGGGCTTACTCAATTCTTTAACTTGAAAGGATTAAATTATAATTATGGCTTATGCTAATTTGAGAAATTTGTCAAGTACTGTTAACACTATTTCTTCAAAACAAGAAGCAAGTTAAGAGCAACTATTTAGCTAAAGTAATTTTAAGCTGTTGAAATTTAGATATATACCACAAGAGAGTTAAATAATACTCGCCAATAAAATAATTCAAAGTGATTTGGATAAAACAAAATGCCTTCTTTCTGAGTTTAATACACAGAGTTCCAGTAGAGGGCTCCACAAGACTGAAGGATACTAAATTTCACAGACTTGAGGCACTTCTTGTGAAACCATTTCATGATTATCCCCAAAATAGTAAATAATATTTACTCAGTTCATAGCATTTTTCACAACCCCCTAGAGTTGATTGATCCTAACAAATAATAATGATCCAGTTCTGATTTCAGAATCAATAGTTTGAGTTTAACATTCTAAATATGTAAACTAGCTGGTTTCTCTGGACTCATCTGATGGTACAGCAATCTACTGTCTGAACTGCAGGATACATGTGGACAAAAGAAGCTGTTTCCTTGGAAACGACTCTGAGAAAGCTCTTGGAACATCTCCTCCCCAGGAGTTAATTTGTTTCAGATGGAGAAAGGCGATTACTTACGACACATCAAGAAAGAAAAAGAGAAAACTCAAGCTTATTCCTACCATCACTGTTTTTCTCTTTCAAAATCATAGCATAGTTATCAGCAGCAAGAGTAAATATTAATGACATTGTGACTATCTAACATCTAACTCTGCAATAGTTTTCACCTGTATGTAGAAGAAACAGTGGGGTTGGAAAGGGAAATTTTCTAAATGAACCAAAGTACTGTGTATGCTTCTCAATTTCCTGGAAATTTTCCAGTGCTCTACTTCCCTTCATACTGATCATTTTAAAGTGCAAATGTTTGCCACTTGGGTTGAATTACAGATAAAAAAATAATGATCTGTCATTTAGTAAAGATGGTATCTCAACTTAGTGATTTAAACTTTTTCCTCAGTTGTAGTGAAGAATTAACCTATTAGGTCTAATCCTTGACTCCTTGCCTTTGTTATTCCTAGCATGGATTCATTACAAAGTGTATTGTGTTCAAAACTACCCAAGATTCTTCAATTGTGGACACTTGTATCAGGTTTTCAGTAAGGTTTTGTTAGTTGACTCATTAATTTTTGGCATGGCTGAGTTATGGTTTGGAGCTGTAAAATCGACTTAAGCAAATCAGTCCATATGAGAAAGAAACTTAAGACCTTTTCTATTGGATCATTTTTCTATTGAACCAAGTTAACCAAATAACAGAGGTCATAATACAAAGTAAGAGGAATCAACAAAATTAAGGCACATTAAATTATTTCAGTCCGTTAAAAACAGTAGTTGCGTTAATTAAATTTGATAGAATTTCTTAACTCAGTATGGTCTAATCTAAGGAAGTGTAAATTAACCTTAAATATTTTATTTTTTAAAGATTTATTTATTTACTTATTTATTTATACAAGCACTGGGGACAGCCAGAAGCACGGGAGGGCGAGAGAATTCACCAGAGCCAGAGCGGGGAACAGAACAGGCAGACCAATGAAATACACTGCAGAGAGGAGCAGCAGGCAGCAGGAGAGGTCTGCGCTCCATGTGGGACCCTCACCGGTGGATGGGGATCGAACCGGCGCTGCAGAAGCTGCAGGGCAGCTTTGCAGCCCAGCTTTCAACTGCTGCGCCACCAGGGGAGGCCCCCTAAAATATTTTAAATTAAAATCAGATGGGATGGTATGGTTGTAGCCTGAAATCGAAATCACAGTCAGATGTCTCTACTGAAAATTCTTAGGAAAAGTAATACTGTACTTGAAAAGGTGACATTGATCATATCCTATCATTTCTTATATGTTTTTACTTTTAAAATTTTTTATATTTATTTTTTTTTGTATTTATGCATACAAGAACTGAGGTGAATATTGAATATAGGCCAGAGTTGTGAGGGTGAGAGGATTCACCAGAGACAGAGTGGGGAACAGAACAGGTGGAGCCACTGAAATACAACGCCAAGGGAAGTAGTGGGCGAGACAGGAGAGGTCTGCTGCACCAAGTGGGTTAGCTCCCTGGCCAGGGACCTAACTGGATAGGGATAGCTTGAAAGTGTTGACACTTTAACCCCTGCACCACCAGGGAGGCCCTCATATATTTTTAGACATATGAATTTATAATTTCTGTGAGTCTTAATATTCACAAAGGACAAGAAATAACTAGTTTTAAAAGTGTTTTCCTTGATGCTCAACAATATTGTTATGTAAGATTATTTTAAAAATCCCATAAAAATGAAAAAGAAAATACTTAGGGATGTTGATAAACATCAGTTTCAATCTCATTCCTTTATTTTCTTATAAGAAATTCTAAACCAGCAAATGAAAATATTATAGGTATATTATCATTACACTCAGTATCAAATTAGTTCTGTGGGCCTCCCCTGGTGGCACAGCCGTTGAGTGCTGGGATGTGAAGCTGCCTGCAGCCTCTGTAGCGCCAGTTCGATCCCCAGCCGCAGGTGATCCCACATGGCATGACAGACCTCTCCTGCTGTACCCGCTGTTCCCATCAGCAGTGTGTTTCGTCAGTCTGCCTGTTCTGTTCCCTGCTCTGGCTCTGGTGAATTCTCTCAACCTCCCATGCTTCTGACTGTGCCCAGTGCTTGTATAAATAAATAAATAAATAAATCTTTTTTAAAAAAACAAACAAATTAGTTCTGCTCACTCAGTTTTACAATGCGTTTACGCTAGAAATAGAATTTTTAAAAATCACTAAGTCCCATACAAAAGTTACTACAAATACATGGATACACTAACCTTTACAAGAGAAAGACATGTGTTCCACAAAACACAATTCCATTTGACTTTTTTATTTTTACAAATATATAATCTAGGGTAGCAGATACATGTATTTATGTATTAGCCAACCACCAATAATTTTTGAATATATTTAAGTAAATAGAGTATCTATACTGTTGTCTTAGCTAGAACTCATGAAACAAAACATCTTAGACTGACAGCTTAAACAACAAACATTTATTTTCTCAGTTTTGGAGTCTAGGAGGTTCCAAAATCAAGGTATTAATAGAGTCTATGTTTTGCGAAGGTCCTATTTCTGGCTTAGAAATAGACATCTGATTGTTTTATCCTCACATGTCAGAGAGAAAGAGTTCTTTTTTTTAGTTCATAGCAATTATTTAATATGCCATCTTTTCAGGACAAATAAGAATTGAAAACTGTGTTCATGGGATTATATAACATTCTCAAGTAGGGGTAAAATTCATAATTCTGGACAAATCACTTTCTGAAAGAACACTACATACCATCAGCCTAGCAAGATACTTTGATTTCTTCAGGACTATATTTAAAAGATATGTATTTTATTATAAGATTTCATTAGAAAGAAATATCATTATGCTATATAGTAATATAAATATGGACTCCATCATAAAAGAAATATTTTTTTTCCTAAAGATTTTGTTTTTAAATTTATTTATGCATAGAAGAACTAGGGAGCAGGCCAGAGGGGTGGGGGGCTGAAAGGATTCATCAGAGACAGAGTGGGGAAGAGAACAGGCTGATAGATTGAAATACACTGCTGAGGGGAGCAGCGGGCAAAACAGGAGAGGTCTGCTGCGCCATGTGGGTCACCTCCCTGGCCAGGGATCGAACTCATACTGTAGTGGCTGTGGATATCTTCATAGTGCTGCATCCTAACCCCATGTGCCACCAGGGAGGCCCCAAAAAGAAATATTCTTTCAAAATATAAGACAGGAAAATATTTTGTCCCCTTTTTTATAGGGTTACACTGTGGTATCTCTGAAAATTAAGGTGTATCTATGGGTTATGTGTATATATATGTGTGTACATGAGAAAAAGAGAAATTGTGGGAATATACATAAACTTTTAGAAAAAATAGATATAACTATGACACACATATTCATTCATTCAACAATGTTTATTGAGTGTTTATTACTGCATATTGCTTTATATGTTTGGTACATAACTAAATATTAAAACATATCAGACTTTCTTTTGCTTATATACAGGTGAAATAATCTAAACTGAGATTAAATTGGGGTGCTATCATTACATCTCAATTCTTTGCAAGTTGTAAGAGTATCAGTGACAGATCTAGACAGTTCTTGAATTTGGATTGCTAGAGGCTAGCCTACTTTGGCCTTCTCAGCTCAGCCCTCCATCTCTAACTACCCCTGACCTCACTATGACCACCTCTGCCATGGTTTTGTTTTCATCATTTGTGTAGAAACAGATTGCTGACCATTCCTGTGTCCTATTCACTCTCTGGTGTGGTGCTTTATTTTGGAAGTCACTATAAAATATAACTATAAATTGCAAGCAAATTATTCTCAAAACAGGAAATACAAGGCAACTTTACTGAAATTTCTTTCTGAATGACTAAAAAGTGTTTTGATTACGCTGTTTTTGGCCAAAAATACTGGATTTTGATCTCTTTTATTTGTGTAAGAACTTATCTGCCTCTGTACTCATACCAAATGCTTTCCTCTACAATGTCCTGTTTTTTCTGGCTTTTCAAAGGTTCTCTCTAGATTCTGACTCTGATCATTTTACATATCTTTAAATATAAACCACATGCAATTTCCACTCTAAAGTGTGCACCAGTAGCTTTGACTTTCAACAATATTTTGTCCTATCTTGCCTTGAATGGTCAAAAAACAAAATCAGGGCCTCCCTGGTGGTGCAAGGGGTTAAGATGCAACCTTTGAAGCTGTCCAAAGCCTCTGCATCACCAGTTCGATCCCCAGCCAGCCAGGGAGCAACCCACATGGTGCAGCAGACCTCTCCTGACTTGCCCGCTGCTCCCTTCAGCAGTGTATTTCAATCTGCCTGTTCTGCTCCCCACTCTGTCTCTGGTGAATCTTCTCGCCCCATCCCCCCTGCACCTCTGGCCTGTACCCCAGCTCTTGTATTCACAAATAAATAAATCTTATTAAAAAAAAACATTTCTCGGGCCTCCCAGGTGGCGCAGGCAGTTGAGAGCTGCACTGTGAAGCTGTCCACAGCCTCTGCAGAGCGGGTTTGATTCTGGCTGGCCGGCAAGAATCCCACATGGCCGAGCAGACCTCTCCTGTCTAGCCCTCTGCTCTCCTCAGCAGTGTATTTCGTCAGTCTGCCTGTTCTGTTCACCACTCTGTCTCTGGTGAATCCTCTCACCCTCCCACGCATCTGCCCTGTACCCTGGTTCTTGTATAAAAATAAATTAAAAAATTAAAAAAAATCATTTCTCCTCTTGAATTCAATATATCTCATCTTGTTTCACTATTTTTTAAGTATTCCAAGATTGAATCCTCACTAATCATATCTCTGTTTCAAAACCCCCAAATAAAGTTAGCTGACAAAAAAAAGTCCAGTCAATTCTTCCTTCACCTTAATCTCTCAAATTTTTATTCTATCACCCTTACTCATTACTTTTCTACTGTGCTATTACCTTGTCTTCCAAGCATGCATTTGATATCTCTTTTTTAATTCATCTTACTCTCAGCAAAGCCTCCTAATATGTTGGCCCCTTCATGTGCCAAATGCGACTAAATTCAATATAAATCATAAACTTGACTTTTCAGCCTATGTGGAGATTTCAATTCTGTTTAAATTCTGACCTCTACAAAATCTTTACATACACTGTACTCCAGAAAATTCAAATAATTGTTTTTTGTCAAACCGACCATGAAGTTTCCCAGTTATTTGCACTTCTTGTGCTATTTCTTCTTCTGGGAATATACTTTAATTTTCTTTCTGCCTAAGTCTATTTACCCCAAAATTTCCTCTTTCATGGTTCTTCTTAATAGTAGTAAATTACGGTTATGTGAAGAATTATTTCAACTTTTTTATTATTTTTAAAGGATTTTTTAAAAGAATTTTTTATGCATACAAGAGCTGGGGAACAGGCCAGATGTGCAAGGGGTGAGAGGATTCAACAAAGACAGAGTAGGGAACAGAACAGGAAGACTGACTGAAATACACTGCTGAGGAGAGCAGCAGGCAAGACAGGAGAGGTCTGCTGTGCCATGTGGGTAGCTCCCTGGCTGGCCAGGGATTGAACTCATGCTGTAGAGGCTGAGGATAGCTTCATAGTGCTGCACTTAACCCCTTATGCCAGCAAGGAGGCCCACTTCAATTTTCAGCAGCTTAAAACAACTCATGCTTATTATCTCACAGCTTCTTGGCATTAGGAGTCTGGGCATCACTTAGCTAGATACTTCTGCACAGTGCCTCTCACTAATCTACAGTCAAGGTATTGGCCAGGACTACTATCTCTAAGAAGAGAATCCAAACTCACTCATGTGGTTGTTGGCAG